GAATAGAATAGAATAGAATAGAATAGAATAGAATAGAATAGAATAGAATAGAATAGAATAGAATTCTTTATTGGCCAAGTGTGATTGGACACACAAGGAATTTGTCTTGGTGCAAATGCTCTCAGTGTACATAAAAGATACATTCCTCAAGAGTCAAGAATCATCAGGTACAACCCTTTATGATAGATATAGCCTCAGATCTTGTATTTCTTCTGATGCTACCACTTCAATGTTCAGTAAAAGTCCTTTTCTCTAAAACAAGGGAGTCTTAAGGTTTTCTTTCTTGGATTTTGAATGGAGCCTCACCTGACAGAACTGGTAATAAAAATTTTTTGGGGAATCCCACCACTGGAGAGTGCACACCCAGCCACCCAGCCCTCCTTCTGCTGCTGGCTCACAAGGACATGCCCCTCACCCGCCCCACCTGGGCACCTCCTCACTCCCTACAGTGGAGAAACAGTGGAAATCCAGGGATCCTGGAACGGGGGTTGCGGGGGAGGGGGTAGTGAATTAGGCAGGACACGGGTGAAAAGACATGAAGGAGAGCTGTCTAAGCAACAATTCAACCGTTTTTATTTTAAAGTGCTTATAACAGAAAAGAGACAAAAGTTTTATGAAACAAACATCATCAACAGCACTTAACCCAAGAGCCGAGCCCACCCACCCCGCCATGCCTCCTTTCCTTCCAGAGGCCACGCAGGACAGGCAGAGCCTGCGATGGAGGAAAAGGTTCCCACGGGGTAGGTGGGCGGGGTTGTTATGCAGCTACTGCAAGGGGTGTGTGTGTGGGGGGGGGGTAAACCCACACGGGAAGCCCCTGGAGAGCAAAGGCAGGCAACATCCGATCTAGGGCTCACAAGATGGGCCCAGTGAGTGGTGGATATTTGGGCCACAAAAAAGAGGAACAGAAATTCAGGGAGGCAGTCAAGAGGCCACTCAATGCCAGCTCAGGGGCAGGGGTCCTCAAACTTGGCCACTTTAAGACGTGTGGACTGGCTGAGGAATTCTGGGAGTTGAAGTCCACACGTCTTAAAGTGGCCAAGTTTGAGGACCCCTGCTCAAGGGGGACAAGCACAAATCCCCCCCATCGCAGCCAAGGACCGCCAGCCCCGCCTTCTCTTTCAAGCCCCCTCCTTGTCAGGTGTCCCCCCCCCCCCCCCCCGGGACTCAGCAGCTCAGGGCATCCAGTGCTTAAGGCAGAGGTCTCCAAACACAGCCCCTTTAAGACGTGTGGACTTCAATTCCCAGAATTCTCTGGGAGCTTGAAGTCCACAAGTCTTCAAAGTGGCCATGTTTGGGGGGGGGACGACCCCTGGCTTAAGGGGCAAACAGTGAAAACATTTTGGCAGAAACGGGATAAACTAAAATCTAGGGAGCCTCCTTGCCCAGCCATTTCCAGGGGGTGGACGGGGGTGGTGTCTGGGGGAGGGGGGGTTTCCTTTCATTGGATTTCCCTCATGTCGGCAGCATTGGGGTTGCCTTGCTTCAAGCCTTCAGTAGTACCCCTCCCCCCCCCCCGCAAGGCCTCCTTGGCAAGGGAGCCAGGTGGGTCAGAGCAGGCTTCCCCGAAGAATTAAGCTACCAGGAAGGGCACTGGCCCAGGGCACAGAACCTAATCTAGGCGGCCAAGTAGGCCGGGTGGAGGGGGGGGTCGGTACACCTGGAGCTAAGGCGTTTAAGCCTCTGTGCCTGCCTTAACACCAGCCTTTCCTGGCTGTGAGATCCCTGGGGGGTCAGTAAATAAGGCGAGAGAGTGCCCATCCTTACATGCAGACCAGGGGGTTTTTGGGGGGAAGAGGGGGGGTGTCTAAAAGGCACGTCTTGTCTCGTTACCGTTCCAGGCAGGTGCGCCCCTCCTTCCATTAGTGTGATTCTCCAGGACAGGTAGAAGATGGAGAAAGGGGGCAGAGGAGGGGGTGTTTTTGGGGGGCATGCACCATCAGCCCTTGGTTCTTCTCTGGGGCAGGGAGAGCGCCCCCCCCCCCCCCCCCTGCCCTGAGAGATAGCACGGAAAAGATCAGGCTGGTTCCAAGCGGGCTGCGGGCCGGCACCGCCTTGAACGCTGATCAAAATCAAGAGGAAGACACTAGCCCTCATGGAACAAGGCAAAGCATAGCCCCCCACCCCCCCCCCCCCCCGGTACTCTGTCCACTCAGGTGGCTTTTCCTGGGTCAGCCACCAGCGCCTCTGCCTTCGATCGCCCTCCCATGCAAAACTCCCATTTCAGCCAAGGGAGGGGGAGGGAGGCATCAGTTTGGGGTGGGTGGGTAGGGACGACAAAGATTGCCTAACTGTAGCGGGGTCGAGGCAACGACATTTGCAAAGGGACAGGCCAGGACGTCTGCAGGGCCACCCCGCAGCCTGGGACACACGCCGCTGCGTCAAGAAGAGTCCGTGTTGCCGCCACGTTTGAAGGTCCACCGGAGGTCCCGGGCGGAGGCTACAGGGAGGCTGAGGGACCAGGGGGTGTCCTGGGGTGGAGGTGTCTGTCTGCGCCAAAGGAGGGGGAACATTCAGCAGACCACACCCGGGCAGGAAGGGAGGGGCGATGGGATTCCTGGCAGGGGGAGGGGCTACTGGGTGGCCTTGGCCACCTCCTCGAGAGGGATCTGCAGCAAGGTGGGTGACTGCTCCATGATGCGCACCAGCAGCCGGTCGATGTAGCCCTCCAGCTCCTGCACCTGCTCCTCCTTCTTGCCCAGCTCGTCTTCCCGTCGCAGCAGAAGTTGGAGCAGCTCCTCCCGCGTCAGGTGGTGGTACTTGGTGGGGGGGCTCTGCAGAGACACAAAGCGGGGGGGGGGAGGGAGGCAGATGGGGGTGCTGAAGAGCAGGGCCTCTTGGGGGACAGAGAGTTGGGAAACTGCCCGATGGGCTGGAAGGAGAAGTCAAGCGAGGGCCTAGTCTGGCATCCTCGTGCAGCTACGAGAGGCAGGAGCTTCACCTCCTCCAAGGTCAAGGAGAACCTTTCCCAGGCAAGCAACCTGAGGAGATTCTTGTACCGTAGGCAGTAGACAATAAAGTTAGTGACTCCTTTTTCCTCCCAGTCTGGACTTGTTTTTTGTCCCACGGAATTCCCACCCAGAAGGACCCTCCTCCTCCTCCTTTGATGCTCCTGGCTCCATCCTCTCCCTGCACAGCATTTCTGCCACGTCCGAGGCCCAGAATCTCAGTCCTTGGCCAAAGCGTACAGACCGGCAGAGATGCCCTTGAGAGGCCTGGTGACAGCTGCCAAGAGAGCTGAGCCCAGGGCTGCTCATCCAGGAGCTCAAAAAGGTTCTGGGGGCCACTGCACGGATCATCCACTAGGCCAGGCCTGCTGGCAGCTAGGCGGCAGCAGGGGAGGAATCAGAGGTCCGGAGTTTTAAACAATGAGCAGTTGAACCTGGCCAACAAACCCAGGATGGCCTCCTTCTGGGCCAAAGGCATATAACGGGTGAGAGAGAGGGATCATTGATGCTCCAAAGGTTCAGCCAGGGAGACGCGCTTTTGGCACTCAGGAGCACATCTGTCCTCGGCGGCTCAGCCACCACCTCACCTGACTGGGCTCCGTCTCCTCCAGCTGCATCACCGAGGCTGCAAAGCTCCCACTAATGACGGACTGGAGGGTGAGCTGCTCCTGGCCAGCGGTCTGGATGGGGCTCGGACTGGAAGCCTCGGGAGGCCTCTCCTTGCCTGGGGACTCTGGGGCAGCCGTGCTTCTCATGGGCTTGACTGGGTGCGGACTGCAAGAAACCAGAGGCATCATTAGGCTCCTCTTTGGATGGGGGGGGGCCGAGAGAGAAACACCCCCCCTGCTCAAAGCTGCAGAGAAACCCCCACCCACCCCCGGCGGGGCCTGGAAGCTGTGGAAAGCTCCAAGCGCCAGTCCCAAGAACAACAACCCAGCCAAAGGTCACTTTGTTATTTGCTCACACTGTGCAGACAGAATCTTGCCGGACTAAACCTATACTTTTCTAACAATATACCTTGGGAGAATGGAGAAAGCGTTTGTCCTGCATCTTCCTCCTTCTCCCATCCAGCTCTGGGCTGGGGGGGGTGCCTCTGGCCTGCCCCCCCTCCTTGGAATAGGTTCCCCCCTTCAGTGTCATCTGTCATGCCAACTCCCCAACGGTGGGATTCAAAAAATTGTACTACCGGTTCTGTGGGCGTGTCTTGGTGGGCGTGGCAGGGGAAGGATACTGCAAAATCCCCATTCTCTTCCCCACCCCCACTAACCTGCTTTCCAGCTCCGTTCTCCTGTGCAGGGCAACCAAAGAAGACCCAGCCGATCAGCTGACACTCAATGGGAGGCACAGTATAGATGGGGGTGGGGCAGTGGTGGGATTCCATATTTTTTACTACCGGTTCTGTGGGCGTGACTTGGCGGGCGTGGCAGGGGAAGGATACTGCAAAATCCCCCTTCCCTCTCCACCTCCACTAACCTACTTTCCAGCTCCGTACTCCTGTGTAGGGCAACCAAAGGAGACCCAGCTGGGACTCGGGAGGCAGAGAATAGATGGGGACGGGGTCAGTCAGAGGTGGGATAGGTTGGTTCTCCAAACTACTCAAAATTTCCGCTACCGGTTCTCCAGAACCGGTCAGAACCAGCTGAATACCCCCTCTGCAACTCCCCCTCTGTAGTTGCCATCCTTCACCTCAAGCAAGCAAACGGGGAGGGCTGGGAATCTCCCTTCTTCCCCAGCCTCCCTCCTTCCTCTTTGACCACCAAAGGAAATTTCCCAGGGTGCCCTTTGCTTCCTTTCTCTTAAAGAAAAACAAAGGGCATTCTGGGAAATCCTCAGCCCTCTCCCGAAACGCTATGCCTATTAAGCGGCTCCCTGTCTCTAAACGGGTGGGGTGCATTCCAAATCCTCTTACCCCGCGGGGCCCCCCAATCTCGGCCTGACCCCTGGGCACACGTTGCAGACCCTCCTTCCTGAGGAACCAAGCCAGCCCCCCCGCTCAAAGATCATACCCGGCCCAGCCCAGTCCCAAGCAGGCCCCTGGGAACGGCCAGGTGGGCAGCTGTACAGGCATCTGGGAGCCCCCTTTTAAGGGGGGAAAGAGTCCCAGGACCAGGTAATCATCCCTACGAGTCTGTCTTGGTAGCCCACAAATTAGGGGTCCCCCCAAATCCCCACTTACTGCAGTCTAAAGTGGTTTTTGTGCAGCACCAGCGCCACCTGCTGGCCGCTGCGTCAACTTCTTTGTCAAGGTAATTCTAAACAGAGAAGCAATTTTTAGCTCCCTCCAGAAACAGCTGTGCTAAATTTGTTGCAGCAAATCACAAAACAGTGTTGGGTCATCTTAAACGATCAACATGTTAATTACAGCATAAATCCAAGACTGTTTTGAAAAACTGTTCACAAATTATACTTAGAACGTGGGTATTAATTTGAAACATCTTTGGACTTTACAGCTTGGGCTGAAATCAGCATTTGGAACGCTTAAAATATCGATGTTGCTGGAAAACACTTTTGGAGTTTCACGAATCCGGCAGATATGTAGGAAGGACAATGTGAAATCTTTACAAATTGCAAGCGTAATATTTTAGGAGTGACACTGGCTCAAGTGAAGAATGAGGTTTTAATTTGTAGCACTGTGATTTGGGTCCGATACTCAAGATTAAAGGTGAAAGGATTGAATGATATTCTCAAATTCTCAAAATCTGGAATCTATTAAACATGAAGAATTCAGGGCGTATGCTAGGACTGCAGCTAAAAATAGTTTTTTTCTCATGAAAACATTCTATCACACTTGATTTAAAATCCTGCACAGAAGAAATCTGTTCATTTCTTATACATTTCTTAAAACTAGCCTTCTATAAACGGAGCCTTTTATTTTACATTTATTTCAACGTATCTTTTTTCCAATTAATTTTTGTTTTAAACTTTGTGGGCTTTTTTTTTTTTTTTAAATTGATTTTGCTATTCTTCTTTCTGCTTATATTAAGAATAACTACATTGTCTCAAGGAATAAAGAGCTGCAAATATCCAGATGCACTAGATTGTAGCAAAGGGATGCCTAAACCTCTCATCTGGTGATCATCTCTTTAAATCTCTCATCTGGTGATCAATGGAATTTTTGCAACAAGGTATTTGGTGGTTCCAATCAACAATCAGGCCCTCGAGACGTCCAGCTTGGCAGAGATATGCCGAACTGTCCATACCAGCCTGGAAGAGCTGTGCCAACTCAGGCTCAAGAGTTGCTCTCCAGCGGAAGCCACCTGTCTGGGGATTTTGCTCAGGCGCAAATACTTTCACTTCAGTGCTTCAGTATAGTTCACACTGTACTGTTGTGCAAAGAACTGAAGAAGCTTCCTGGATGAGAAGCAAAATGTTTTCAAGGAAAAAAAAAACCAAGAAAGTCCAGTCTCCTTTTGGGAAAAACCACCTTTGGGACAACCAAGGTTCCGTCTTAGGCCCAGTACTCTTCAAAATCTTCATTAACAACTTAGATGAAGGAATAGAAGGGGAACCTACCAAATTTGCAGATGATACTAAGCTGGCAGGAATAGCTAACACCCAAGAAGATAGGCTCAAGATCCAGATGGATCATGACAGACTAGAACACTGGGCTGTATCTAACAAAAAGAAATTCAGTGTAGAGAAAAGTAAAGTCCTACACCTAGGCAAGAAAAACCAAAAGGACACATATAGACTGGGTGAAACCAGGCTCAATAGCAGTAACTGGGAGAGGGATCTTGGAGTATTAGCAGACAACCAGCTAAATATGAACCAGCCGTGTGCAGCAGTATCCAAAAAAGCCAATGCAATCCTAAATTGCATTAACAGAGGAATACAATTGAGATCAAGTGAGGTGCTAATACCACTCTATAAAGCCTTAGTAAGGCCACACCTAGAGTACTGCATCCAGTTTTGGTCACCACATTATAAAAAAGATGTTGAGACTCTAGAAACGGTGTAGAGAAGAGCAACCAGGATGATTAGGGGACTGGAGGTTAAAACATATGGAGAACAGTTGCAGGAACTGGGCCTGGCTAGTATAGTAAAGAGAAGGACCAGGGGAGACATGATAGCAGTCTTCCAATATTTGAGGGGCAGAGAGAGAGGAGAAGGGGGTCAAGCTATTTTCTGAAGCACCTGGAGGCCAGACAAGGAATAATGGATGGAGACTGAACAACCTGGAAGTAAGGAGAAACTTTCTGACAGTGAGAACAATCAACCAATGGAACAGAAGTTGTCCTCGGAAGTTGTGTGAGCACCATCAGTTGAGACTTTCAAGAAGAGACTGGATTACCATCTGTCAGAAATGGTGTAGGGTCTCCCGGTTGGGCAAGGGGTTGGACTAGATGACCTACAAGCAGTGGTGGGATTCAAATAATTTAACCACCAGTTCTCCGCCCTAATGATTTCTTCCAACAACCAATTCACCAAACTGCTCAGAAAGTTAACAACCTGTTCTCCCAAACTGGTGCGAACTGGCTGAATCCCACCACTGCCTACAAGGTTCCTTCCAACTCTGATGATCTGTTGTTATCTGTTACGTCCTGGAGGGTTGAGAATCTCCACAGACATGGATCACTTGGAGCCTTTTTTGAGGGCTTTCTGGCCATGCGCATCGAGCCAGCTTCTTCAGGGGGCACAGAGATGCTCACCCCTGAGCAATAAATCAACGCCGCATTCACCACTGCAGGAGCATTTCCAGAATAACTGTGGGAGGAGGAAGTTGAGGAATGGCTGCAAGGGTCAGTGGGCTGAATCTGGCCCCCAGGAAGAGAAGGGGTCAGGGGTCAGCAGCCATGGCAGCACCTGAGGTGGGGGGGAGGAAGGGGGGGCACCCTACTCCCTGCCTGAGAGCAGTGAATGCCTGCCTGGAGCGACCCAAGTGAACTGGCCGAGGGGGAGACCTCTTCCACCTGCCCAGGTAGCTGCCCACTTTACTCCTCCCTCCCTCCCTCCCCCAGCCTCTCCTATCAGACAAGGGCTGGACACGCCACGCCTTCCTTTTTCTTGTTCACCTTTGACCTCCACGGCTTTTCTGCTGCCCTTAAAGAAGAGCTGGAAAGCAGGACCCTGTCCAGTTTCCATGCGTGTTATCATCTCTGTTTTTCTCCTGTGTTGGATGTTTTAAGGCCCCCTCCCCAGAGTTGCTGGTCAAGAAGTATAAAATAGATTAAATAAACCAACACACGGGGACATCCAGCGTTAGGGAAACTGACTCAGGTGGGACACATGCAAGAATTAAGGCTAACCACCGCAACCAGGAGGAGGGGGCTGAATTCCTAGCGCCCCCCCCGCCCCTTTTACAGGCCATGCAAGAAAGAGGCTTTGAAGCGAGACTGCTGGGAGGTGGGGAACTCCCACCACCCAGCATCCCCCCCCCCCCAGGGGAACTGCTACCCGTCCCCCCCAGAGACAGCCCCGTCCTGGCACTCCAGCCTCAACTAAAGGCTCCCTTGGATCCGCTGTGCAGGACTAATCCAGGAGAGATCCAGACTAGAACTAAGAAGGGATTTTCCTGACGGTGAGAACAATTAACTAGTGCAACGACTTGCCTGCAGTTGTGGGTGCTCCGACACTGGAGGTTTCCAAGAAGAGAGTGGACAGCCATTTGTCTGAAATGGCCTAGCGGGAGGCATAGCAGGAGGTTGGACTAGAACAGTGGTCGCCAACCAGGGGGCCAGGGATCACTGGTGGTCCGCGAGAAAATTTTGGAGGTCCGCAGAGAAATGTGTCCCCCGCCCCAAAGCAATTAATCCAGGCTGCACAGGAACACAAGGTTTGTGTCGCTTGTATTGCAAACAACACGAGGTAGTGAGGGGAGGGGGGAAAGGGCGGAGGGGGGGACTTGCCCCACGCGCCCCACACACCTCGCCTGGCCACCGGGCTGCTTCTTTCCGCTTCTTTCTTCTTCTGATTTTGGCTGCATGCAAGGAAAGCAGCAGAAGTCTTTCTTTCTCTCCCCCCAAACTTTTCCAGAAATGAGTCTTTGGGACCCTGCAAGGCCTCCTGCTCCAAGAGGCTGTGCTGGCGTGACAAGTCTCACAAAGACTCATTTTCTGGCGGAGTTTGGAGGAGAGAAAGCAAGACTTCTGCGGCTTCTGCTGCTTTCCTTTCATGAAGCCAAAAGTCTCTCTCCTTCTCTCTCCCCTGGAGAACGGAGCTGGAGATGGTATCCTGCGATCCCAAATAAAGAAGGATCGATCGGTAGGAGAATGGAGTGGGGAATTTTCCTGCAGACTTGTTTTGGGATTTTCCCAGGGTCTCTGGTCCACGGGCTTTAAAATTATGAGTTTGGGTGGTCCCTGAGGTCCAAAAGGTTGGCGACCCCTGGACTAGAGGACCTTCAAGGTCCCTTCCAACCCCATGACTGTTAAGAATAGCAGCAGCTTCTTCTCTCACAATCCGGGTGGATGTGAAAACGCCACGTCCCAGGCAGAGACCCCAACTCCTCTTTGCCTGGCTGGACATCACTTGCAGCCGCAGAGGCTGTGCCGTCGGGGGCGGGGGGGCAGGGGGTCACTCTGCACCCACGCAGAAGCCCTTCAGCCCCTGGAACAACACAGCTGCCCCCAGGTGGAGGCACACGGGGACTACAATCCCCAGGATCCCCAGCCTGCAGAGCAGCTGGCCCGAGAATTCAGAGCACTGCAGGCCTCCTGTAAGGGAAAGGCCGTGTCCAGTGGGGGCTCCGACCTCAGAGCCAAATGCTGCAGCCCCTCACCCCACCCCAGCTGGCACTCCAGGCCTACAGCTGTCCTGCCCTCAGGCACCACTCCTGCCAAACTATGCTGGCTATTTCTGCTCTCCACTCACAAGCTTTGGGGAGGCAGCCCCCCGCCCCAAGATTTTCCAGCTCTCCCCTGCCCGATCTCCAAGAAGTGGTGGCACTTAGTATCATGGGGAGATGGGGTGGGGGAACTGGCCTTGGCACCTGAGAGCCCCCTTGCCCGCTAGGGAGGAAGTTGGATCTGTTCCGCTGGGAGCCAGGAAGCCAAGTCAAGCTAGAAACGGGGAGGCCACAAATTCCCCCCATTCCACCCCACCCCCCAAGGAACCCCAACACAGACAGCAGCCTGGCTCAGCCAAAGGGATTGGCAGGGGTCCCCAAGCAGAGCGATGGGAGGCAACCGCACACACTTGCGAAGTAGCACACACGGGCACGGACACCTGGACGGACACACACACACGCCTGTGCACACACAGTCCACCGCTCCCCTGCTGCTCACCTGGCCGTCTGCTGTTGTGGGGCGTCTTGAGCCGGCGGCATCTCCGTGGGCAGGACCGAAGGGGCCGAGGCGTCGGTGCTGGGGGGCGAGAGCAAAGGGAACGGGGGCGCCCTGGGCTGGCCGTCCACTGCAGCCCCTGCGCTGGTGGCCGGGAGTTCCAGGGGAGAAGGGAGGTGGCAGTCAGGGCTTGGGCTGGGCTGGGAGGAAGGGGTGGAAAAGGCCAAGGGCCGAGGGCTGGGCCGGCTGGGGCCCACCGGGAGCTGCACGGAGAAGCTGTGAGAACGGAGCTGCTTGGGAGGGTTGGCAGCCACAGGGATCTCTCCCAAGCCCAGGGCATCGATGGTGGGGGAGACCGGAAAGGTGGCAGCCTGGGCCCAGGGCACCTCTGCAGCAGGCAGGGCCACAAAGGGGTTCTTCTGTGGAGAGGGAAGGGCCCAGGGGGTAAAGGGGTTGCCTGGGGTCAGCGCGGGGTCCTTCTGCATGCTCTCTGGCTGCCCCCTGCCCTCCTGCCAGAAGGAAGCCTTCCTGAACTCCATCGCTTGCTCATCGGGGAGCTCCGGCTCCGGCTCCTGCCCCGGGTGCGAGGGGGCCACATCCTTCTGTCCCAGGCCGGATGGACTTTCCAGGCTGGCGCCCCCTCCGAGCGGCCCCCGGTGCTCTTCCAAAGCGGACCAGAACAGCAGAGACGGGCTGGGTTCCACCCGCAGCTCAGGGGGCCCCTGGGAGGCCTCAGCGGGGCAAGGGGATCTCTCCGAGCTCCATAAGGAAGCCGAGCCGGGCAGCCCAGTCGGCCAGGCCTCCTCGAGCCCCCAGGGGGCAAAGCCGGCCTCCCCGTCCTGCCTGGGACTCTCGGGGACCCCCGAGAGGCCTAATCCGCCCAAGGAGAGCTGGGAGGGGCAGGTGGAGAATGGCAGGGCCTCTGCGCTGGGCCCCTCGTTCGCTGCCAAGATGGTCCCCCCCGAAGAGGCTTCCTGGGCCCCCGGCTTGTCATCTTCTAGAGTCTCGTCTTCTGCGGCGGCCAGTGGGGGACCCTCAGGGGCCTCGGAGACACTTGCTCCAATGATCACCGCCGGCACCAGGGAGACGGCAGCCGCTGGAGGGGAACCAGCCATGCCCTCAGGAGGGAGGGGCTGATGAGGCTCTGGGCCTGCCCCCCTCGGCCGTGCACCCCAACCAGCCCCCTTGGCTTCTTCGGCAAGCTGGAGAGGGGGCACCCTCCTCGCTGGCTTTGGAGGTGGGGTCCCTGCCCCCCTTGGCACCTCAGTCTGTGCCGGCACCCTTGGCTCCTCCTGGGCGGGGCCTCCGCTGGTCGGGTCAGCCTCTTCGGCCCCTCCCTCCTCTCCCCTCTCGGGGTCCCACTGAAGCCAAGAGGGCTCACTGCTTCCAGCTTGGGGTCCCGGCTGGCTTCGCGGGAACATCTGCTGCTCTCGGCCCCAGTCCAGCTGCTCCGAGGAACGGTCGGCCATGGAAGGGGTGGTCTGGTGGCGTGGGCAGCTCTCCGGTGTCCAGCCGATGTCCATTTCTCCAGCCACTTCGGAGGCAACAGGCACCATCTGCGTGGAAGAGCCCAGCTGCCCCACACTCTGGGCCTGGGTGGCTTCCCCTTGGGTCTGCTCCTCTGGGAGGCTGCTTGCATTGGGTACAGAATTCGCTCCCTCCCCAAATGTCCCCCTCGCTAGCAGGGCCCCCCCAGACCCGCTCCAGGTCCGGCCTCTGTCCTCAAAAGTGAAGCTCAGCCAGTCCGGATTCTGCTGCGAGACCCTGTCAGGGCTGGGGGGACCTTCCTCCTGCTGTGGGAGACCAGCCGCCCCCCCTGGGGGCTCTGCGGTGGGAGGGGGTTCGGGCCCCAGAGCAGCTGGCTGGAGGCGGCTGGCGGCAAAGGCATCAAAGCCATCGTCCCCTTCCACGGGTGGGCGCACAGGAGCAGCAGCGGCAGCGGCAGGCGATGGCTGAAGGTGGCTGGCAGGTGGGGCGAGGGGCTCGGGCTGCGCTTCTCCGGCCTGGATGGAGGGAGGGAGGCCCTGATGCTCAGAGACCACCCGGGGATCCTTGGCGAGCTCTGGAGTGGCAGGCAGGCCAGGCTGGGAACTAGGGAGAAAGCGAGCAGGGAAGCAAGTTTAGTATCTGGTCAACGAGGAGCTAGTCCTCAAGGAAAGGCTGGTCTGGGGCCGAGGGTCTTGTAGGCGGGGCCCTCCAAGTGGGGGGCAGAAGAAAGGAAGGGGGGCTGCTTGGATGGCTAAGGGCTGGTGACCCTGGAAGTCCCTAGGAAAGAAGGGTGCCCCCCAACTCTGACCCCTCACACTGGTCACAATTCAGTGCCACAAAGGTTTTAGGTTCACCAACAGCCTCACACGCGCGCGCACGCACACGCACACAATCCACTGGTGCCTTCATGGAACCACAGCAACCAACCAGTCTTTGCAGAAGCCACAAAAATGGATAACTTAAAAGTAGCACAAAGCAGCAGCGATGGAAGAGAAGTGGGGGGGCCCTTCACAGTTGCCGGGGGGGGGGGGGAAGCAGACTTGGCCTCACCACACCCCAGCCCCACACAACCCCTAGGCCAGGTCTGCCCTACTCCAAGGGCTCTGTCCCCCCCAAACAGGTTTCCATTGGGGACTTGCCCCCAGCCTCTTTGACCTTGACCCCCCCTCCCCAAAAGGGAGAGCCCTGGGACTCTCCCCCCCCATGGCTCTGAATTCCCTCCCCCCTCCTGAAAGCCCGCCTTTTCCTCTGACAAAAGTAACAATGCTACAGTCTTCATTGGGGTGTGTGGGAGACCATGCAGCGATTCAGGGGGCTGCCTCCACTCTCCCTTGAAGCTCCCCAAAGCTCCCCACCCCCGTGCCCCCCACACCCCCTCCCAACGTCCTCCAGTTTTTCATTTTACAGTTTCAAGTTTTTAAAGACGGCTGTGAAAATTTCTAGAGACCCCTCACTTCCCGGACATAAGCAGTTTCAACTCCCACCCTCAAAACGACGCTATAGAGCCCGGCACACACCAGAACAACTAGACACAAGGACAGGTTTTTCCCCAAATGTCATCACTCTGCTAAACAAATAATTCCCTCAACACTATCCAACTATTTACAAAGTCTGCTCTACTATCACTATTAATCTTCTCATCCCTCATCAACCATCCCCTCCCACTTGCAACTGTACGGCTGTAACTTTGTTGCTTGTATCCTAACAATTTTTATTGACTGTTTCCTAGTATGATTTGATTGCTTATTGTACCCTATGACTATCATTAAGTGTTGTACCTGATTGACTCTTGACAAATGTATCTTTTCTTTTATGTACACTGAGAGCATTTGCACCAAAGTCAAATTCCTTGTGTTTCCAATCACACTTGGCCAATAAAGAATTCTATTCTATTCTATTCTATTCTATTCTATTCTATTCTATTCTAT